GCTTTTACAGGAGGATTTCAGGTAGTTAAGAGCATATGGTGGCTGAGTTTCTGTTAGCATCCCATTTGATCCTCAGAGAAGAGAAAGCTGTACGAAGTCAGCACAAGCACGTGTGAATGTAACTTTGCCTCTGTTTCCTTACCCAAAAAACTTTTGCTAGGAAAACTGCTTTAAGGTGGGATAGGAAAACAGCCTTGGGCATATCAGGTCTCTGCCAGGCTAAAGGTATCTGCATCAAGCTTTTAACAACAACGACAACAAACACCAAACAATATTTTAAAAAAAAGAGGAAAAAGAAAAATAAAAGAAGGGGAAAAAAAATAAAATTAAAAAAAAAAACCCAACCCCCAAAAAACCCTTCAGCTGGAGGGTGGGGGTGAAGGGAGAGATGGGATGCTCTCTGGGCTTAGAGCAGGAGGAGTACTGGGCACAGCAAGGGAGGAGGTGAGCGCCCGGGGCGGGGAGGGAGCAGGGAAGAGAAGGGACCGCAAAACAAGAGTTTGGGGCAGCAGTGGGCAGGGGCATGTGGTTTCTGTGGAGGTGGAAGGAGCGGGGTTGGGGCAGGGAAGAGTTTTGTAAGTTGTGACCCACTCTGTAAAGGGTGAGATGGAAATTCTGAACCCAGCAAGAACAGGAGGAAAAAAACTGTGGAAAAACTAGGGAAGATGAGGAAACTGTGACACAGGGGAAAGCCAAAGAGGAGATGTTGGCGGTGCGGTTATGATGAGCAATTCTGATGCCACCATTCATTGGCAGAGGCACATCGTCTAATTTCCTTGCTGCATTTAAAGGCCTGCCAGCCCTGCATGCGTTGTCCTAACTTTCTGGCTTGTCACCTTGCGTCTGCTGTCCCCACAATTGCTGTGTTCACAGCTTTGCTCCATTTGTATGTCCGTTTTGATTGCATTGCCAAGACAGCACATCAGTACAACTCACTAAAGAGTTCCTCCGAGCCTGCTGCAAGACTCCAAGGCAGTGAGCCCAACTCAGGGCGGAAAAGGGACGTGGCTAAAATGCTATAAAAATCCCTTCGCTATCGATTACAAGTCATAGCGCTTTCTTAATAATGCTGATGACAAGTGGTGCTGTAATATTAAACTGTTCTTCTCAAGAGTTCAAAGCATCCCAGTCCCACCAGCACGTAGGAGGTAAATTCTACAGTGGTCTTGTATGTATGTGAGTGAATGCAGAGGAGACGTACCCTGAGGGAGAGAAGCAAAGGGCTTACGGCGGCAGAGTGAATGAGTTACAGCTCCAGGAGTAAAACTGAGATGTTCTGACTCCTGGCTTGGGGAAAGTCCATGCAAAAGGTGAAAGATGACATCTGAATTGTTATCTTAGAGAAATGTATGTAAACTACCTGTGTCCAACGTAGGAGTCTGATAAAGGCTTTCACCAAAAGGTTTCTTTGACTTGCAGATGTGGTCTGTCACGCTTGGTGAAGTCCAGGGCTTGCTTGCTCTTCCCTAGCAATCCAACACTTTTAAGAAGGAGAGAAGCCGTGAAACTTGCCTTGTTCTATTTACTTGTTTGTGATTAGTTCAAATGTTTGCATATAAATTGTGCCAGCTCTTACGGGAAGTGAGTTAAAATATTAGCAAAACTTCTCAGAATAATAGGCAAAACCAAGTGTTTGATACAGAGCAAGATTATTATCTACTTCATAGACCATCTTATGGCATTAACTTTTATGGTATCTAAGCTCACAAAATTAGTAGACTTGTCATCAATGTTCTGTGAGGGAGAAATTTAAGGAGAGGTGGGAGGAAGGTCCTGTGAGCTGCCCAGGACTGCATCGGGTGCAGAGGACCACCCTCTTTCCTGCTTTTTATACTGAGAAGCTGTTGCAGGGATGACTTCCACCCAAGAATTTTCAGTGAAATATTTGTATCTAGTTTCTGTAGCCCCTCTCAAAGGAGGGTATCTATGGCTTCCTAACTTTTCGGGAAAGGGTGAGAGTAGAGAAGGGAAGAGGGGTCTCTTTTATGACTTCTGTTTTTTTAAATTTTTTATTTTTTAATCTGAAAATGAATTTGGCAACTCTCTAAATCTCCCTTAGGAAAGCAGCCCTTCTCCTGGAGGGTTGCTCCCACTGCTTCAGTCCTCTTCTAAAAATCTTGACAAGCAAAAAGCAAAGAACATCAAGGGCTTTCCGAGCCTGTTGGGATTTATGGATTCGTTTTCAACTTGGCAGCAAGAGCTGGACTTGAATGCATCTCTGCAGAGATACCAAATAGCAACAGCCTCCTACCCTGCCTGCACAGAAGTTGCCTGCTCCTTTCTGTTAGCAGCCCCTTCCCTCACCTCAGGAGCTGACAAAACCAGAAAGAAATCCTCCTGCCTTGGAAAGTGCAAAAGGCTCTGCAGCGGAGCATCCTGGGTCCCAAGTGCTTGTGCTGTGGTGAAATAACGAAACAGCCTGTGCTTTCCGTGGGCTCTTGGCCAGCAGCAGAGCTCCTCTCAAGCAGGCAGTGACACAGTGCTGCTGCTGAGCTGCCCTTCGAACAAAAGCTCCATGAGAAAAAACCCTCTGGTGAGCAGAAGAGCCAAGAGAAATCAAGTTCTGTTTCATGCCAAAGACTGATTTATTTTCTTAGACACTTTCTCAGCAGAATGCACATTCTGTGCATTTTCCTGAAAGATTCCCCAGTAAAGAAGACAGAAATGAAAGAAAAATAAGTTATTAAACATCAAGAGAGGGTTTTAAACAACCACCAAATTCCTGTGTATCCTCAAAGGAAAAGGAGAAAAGCTTTATGCACGTCTCCAGCAAGCCGAGGGCACTATATAAAGGCAGCATGCCTGTTTTCCTGTAGATTTTAAATGCTTTCTGTATTGAAATATGTAACATACATTCCAGACATAAAACCAAATGTGGACATGTATGGTTATATCCTGCTCCATTGCTGTATGTATATTTTCTGAATGCTGTAATTTGGGACTTGTTCTGTTTCAGAATGTAGAAGGTATTTTTCCCCTCCTCATCACACTTTCTCTGCGAGTGTATATATGCATACAGCAATATATATGTGTACAGCAGTAGCTGGGAAAGCTCTGGTACAGGTTGTTAGGCAAGCCATTAAATGCCTTATGGCGCTTCAATGTGTTAAGTGTGGCGAGTGGCATATTCCAGCGCAACTAACAATGGCTGTAGAGCTCAAGTAGTTTTCAAAGCATTTCACAGGGCTTTTATTCCATAGTTTTGTTTTAACGTCAGTTCTAATCTTTATGCAATATGCAGTGGATAAATTTATAAGCCATACTGGTGATCCAGTTATATATATATATTATGACTATAATTAGTAGAAAATTCATGACATATGGAAAAACTATCATGTTCTCTGAAGATAAATTGTACCTCCAAACTCCAAATTACAATTTCTTGGAGCCAACCATATGGCCATAAGAAATTGAACTAATACAGTGTACTTACTTCCTGAAGATTCTTTAAAGACTACCACCAAAAAAAAGCTGCTGGCAGTTTCCAGAGGGAAACAGGTCAAACTACTACCACTTTCAAAAATGCATCATGTGATAATGTCGCTAAAGGTAAATTACTACTCCTTAGTCATCTTTTTGAAAGCAAGAGAATTCAGAGTTGTCAGTGAGGGCCATGTTTAATTCCTGCCTGGAACCAACATCACCAATTGCCCTTCAGAGAAGAACGAAACAGAGATACTGCAGGGTCAGAGAGTTTGTAAATCCCACCTGAATGTTGGACTTGATAAAGCACCAGTGCTAAGAGGAATGGGGGAAAAAAAAAAATAAAAGCAAACAAAAAAGAAAAAAGATGACATTATTCAGAGCGTAAAGTGTTCTAGATGACCATTTTATAATGTGTTAAAGCACTTTTAAAACATGTCATATTGACATACTTAAACTTTGGTATAATGCCAAAAACTTTCAGGATCAATCGTAATATTTGAATTACAACCTGAAGAATTCAGTGGAATAATGCAGAGATTAGCAGCTTTACAGCTTACTGAAAATCAAACATGTCCCAACAGAACACAGTTTAGATATCTGTAATCATAAATCAGCCATATGGGAAAACATTTGGTAATTAAGGGCTAAGTCAACAACAGTTTTCTTCTTTGATACAACAGAGACACTTTAAAGCTCCCCCCTGCCTTGGTATCTATCATCTGTGTTAATTCAAAAATGAAGAAACAACCCCAGTCCCTCAGGCCACATCAGGACTTATATTGTAGATGACTTCCCTGATTTTACTTATATTGTGTGTGATCCCTGAGAAATGTACCTGCAGCTACCTTCAAGTGCTCTGGAGTATCTCCACCACCTCTGCTAGTGATTCTGTGGGTTCACAGCATTGGTTTATAAACACAAGGTGTGTCTTTGAAAGCTAGAAGGCAATAATATGGACCTGAAGATGCCTTCTAGCAGAGAGCACAGGTCAGGCGAATAGGGCAAATTACTTTTATGTGCTAACTGAGCAAGTAGTCACAGGGGGTCTATGGAGACCCTGTTACTGGGACCCACGGAGCATGGATCTTTTACAGTAGTTGAACAGTAAGTTAGGACTTTAAAAACAGGTCTAGTGTTTCAAGGCATTAATGAAGATCTATGCCATCCTGAAATCAGTCATAGAATCATAGAATTGTTTAGGTTGGAAAAGACCTTTAAGATCATCCAGTCCAACCATTAACCTACACTACCAAGTCCACTCTAAACCAATCAAGGGTAGGCTAGACTAAACCATGTCCCGAAGTGCCACATCTATCTGTCATCAGTGAGATTCAAATGCTGACAGCCTGGTTACCTTGAGCCCTCCCATTCACTTCCATGGGAGATGAATGATCCCTCTGCAGTGAGCAGCAGCCTTTGCCTTGACCTGACGCCCCATGCGACTTAGCTGGTTGATGCTTAGACTTGTGCTCCTGGAACAGCTATAACCCTTGCCATAAAGCCCTTTAATAACAGTTCATTAGGCCTCAGCTTTGTGCCCTGGGGCTTGTTGGGAAAGATTTGATCTGGAGGCTTCACAAGTTTCTGTGTCTTTGAATCAGTAAAGTCAAACTAGCACTATCCTTGATATCAGGGTACAAAGCCATGATGTGGTTCACCTCGCTGTAAGGGAAAAGGGAGCACAGCTCCCTGTATATGTTTGCTTGCTGGGCAGAAGGTGGCCTTGCAGCTGGAGTGGGCCAGTAGTCACTATAAGAGGCATCAGGGTAAGCATGAGCTTTCTGGAAGAAGCCCAGCCTATTGCTGGCGTCTAACAGAAAGGGCTGCCGTGGGGGACGGCTGGGGAAACAGTGCTGCTGCTGCTGCAGCTGACGCTCGCTGTACAAGTGAAGGGGGCCGGGGGGAAGAGCTGAGGACTGAGGCAAAACACAGTGCTGAGCACCATCAAGGACGTAGCGGCTCCTCTGACCCATCCCGTGCATGCCGCAGCACTCCTGAGGCCAGCCGGGGTCTGGGCGCACCCCACCCCGCGCAGGCTGCACCGTCTGCTGGAAAGGGCATCCCGGTAGGCAGGTGCGGTCCAAGCCATGGGCGCGATGAAGCGAGTACGGGTTGTGCCTGAGGTCACCGCAGCGATGAGGGCTGTCCGTCACATCTCTGTCCTGAGAGGTATGCACGGACCGATTGTAACCGTAGGTGTCATCGGTGATGGACAGGGCTGACAGCTTCTCCAGGAGCGGCTGGTCTCGCAGCAGCTCCGCCTGTAGCAACCGCTTGTCCAGCCCCAGGTCAGCGCCGGGGCTGCCGGCCCAGGTGCCGGACAGCTGCTCACGGCAGCTCCCCTGGGACCACCCTGGGTAGCAGGAAGGCCCTGCGGAGCCGCTGGCTTCTTGCAGCATTTCTGTGCAGGCATCGGGCGGAGCAGGCTCTCCTCTGGTCCTGTATGGTGAGTGGTTACGTTGTTCCTCCTCTTTCCCCAGGCTTAACGGGACCTTTATTTTGGCCCTGAGCTCATCAGCGACCGAGACCTGAGCTTGATGTGGTCTCTCTGGGTGGTAAAATTTGCATTTATTGCCATAGGTGCATTTTTTACCTGAAAGAATCAAAAATCAAACAAGAGGTTGTCGCTAGCAGCCATGTCGATTAATGTAGTCATCACTTCTCCCCAGCACTATGCATTTGCATGGGTGCGGTGAGAACAAACAGCGAAGAGGGGAAGTGCCGTTTTCCAATTCAGTACTTTTGACCCCAGATTTAAATATTGCTGACCTAAATAGCAGGGTGAAGCAGCAGGGAAAGGAAGTTTCTGCTATTTTGGAACTGTCTGAAATTAATTTATGTTCCGGTTGCTGCACTCAGTGGCCTGGGAGACCTGCTGCTACACAGGGTTGCTTTAAAAATGGTGTAGAGATTTACCTCTGAGAAACTTCCGCATTACTGGAAAGCTGTTCGGGGCCAGGGTGGGGGGAAGCATTTGGATGGCCTTTCCTGAGTGCTGTAATCAAAGTCCACCCTGCAATGTGAAAAGTGTGTGCAGGCTGGGGGGGGTCAGCATGGCCACGGTGCCCGGTTTGGGTGCTGCATGCGGGTGAGGATGGAGGAGCCAGAAACAGCTGCTGCCTTTACTGAGGCTGGAGCCACTTAAGCAGGAGGGGGAAAAAGCGTCACCCTGGCCAAAAACTCTACCGCACAAAGCGCCAAGTACCACGCAAGCACATGGCAACGGCGCTCGCTCTTAGCTGAAGGAAAGCACCACTAGGAAGTAAGGGGCAGGAGGAATTGGGGTGGCAGTTCACAGCACGGAGAGAAACCCACCATAGGGGCAAAGCTGCCATTTTGTTTCAGGAAGCACTGGCTGTTTGCTGAGGAAGTTATTAAGAGTGGGTCCATGCCGGCCTAATGGATCATCAGGAGGCATAAACCTGAAAAAGGAAAAAGTCACAGGGGTAACAAAACTACCTCGAGCTCTTGGAGCTAAAGTGTCATCACAGCTTGCGGGCAGAAAATCCTTGTGATCCTTTTGTAGCCTGGCCTTCAGGAGTCAGCCTGCGCTACTAGATACGGTGCCTTCCTGCCTGCTAAGCCAATACTTCAGCTTCACGTAGCTGGTTTTTCCTAATAACTTAAAACAACTGGGAATACACGGCGGCTTGGCGCAGCTCTGGCCGGCCCGCCCCCCCTGCCGTTACAGCATCGCTTCCTTTTTCTCTGAAGCAGCAGCAGCAAACTCTTCTGTGCTCCCAGCACTGCGAGCCTCAGCGGCAGCTCCCTTCTGCAGCAAACTCACGTTTCTCTTACTAAATACTTGTAGGAGAATGAGGTTTAAAAATCCAGCGGTTAATTCAGAGCTACAGCCGATCATGCGTGTGGTGTGATAATCCCAGCCTTTTTCAAGGATTCAGTAAAGGCTTCCCTCTACAAGGCCTGCAAAAATGCTCAGATGATACTGTTTATTATTCTGTGCCAGTACCTACCTGGATGTGATGCTGCAGGAAGAAAACTAATTAGCATCTCTGGACTTGTTTGCAAATGAATCTGCACCGCACCCACCCGCAGAACAACTCTGTCCGACGAAGGGAGTCGCGGGTGGGAGGGGAAGGGAATTTGTTCATCTGCACCCGCCTGTGCACCACCGGGAATTTGTTCATCTGCATAATGGGACTGAAACCTCCAACTTCAGGCTGTGGTTTTTGAGAGGTTTCCAAAGCTGTGCAAGAAGTTCCCGCTAAAATTGTTCAAATGAGCTTCAGAGTAGCAGCTAGACTTTCTGAGGGGAAAGGTTCTGAAAAGATCTGGCAATCCATACGAAATAGGAAGGAAAATATCATATAAATTGTAACCCATTAGTAACTAGGGAAGAAGCCTGGTGGTAGTTGGAGATAATGGACTGGAGCTTCGAGAAATACTGTATGCTGATGTTCAGCGACTGCATTTCTGCCAACAATGTAAGAGGAAAACTGAAGCCCCGTGCCAAGCACTCCCATCCAGTTTTGGAGGTGGGAGAGCCTGGTCTCCATCCTGACCCATGGAGAGTGCCACTGTGTGAGGCAGCGTCTCCGCTCGCACTTGTCCGTGCACACTGGATGCCTGCATGTGCATTTCCCCAGCCAAACTGACCGCTGACGAACACCTCTGCTAGTAGGAAACTCGGACAAGGTTAGTACGTACAGACTGAGGAACATACAGCTCGGCCTTGCAAGCACGGCGCAAGTGCTTTAATGAAAAGCTTCCCCAATGGGGATGGCTAAGGGGGCAGAGACCAGCTTGTCATCACTCTCTTCTAGAAAGTTATTATTAGAAAAGCATAGGAAAAAGGGCGTTTCTGCCTTGTATGGAAATTAAAAATATGGCCAGATAGCCAGTCTCCTCTCACTGATTTAATTCTGTCATCCTGCTATGAAAGAGAAATGAAAAGATACCAGGCCTTGGGTTAACATCCCACTTCAGATTGGGAAGAAGCAAAGCTGCTCACTAATGTTGCCTTTGAAATAGAGAAGTTCATTGAAGAGTGACTGGGGGTTTTAAGACCAAAGCTGAGGGAGCAGGAACTTAAGAAATGAGATAAGAAAAGCTGCAGAATTCCCTTCAGAAAAAGGCTTGCATACTCTGCTACTGGTGGGAGGTGCATTAATATTGGAGCTGACTGGGTGTGGTGGTGCAGCCCCCCGGGCCACTCTGAGATCCCAGGATAAGCCCTGTTATCTTGGTCATAAGCTGTTATCTTGGTCATAAGCGCAGTGACTTGGGCGTCAGGCACTCTCTGGCCACACCTGGGCCACCTGCTGCCTGAATTGTGTATCAGATTAACTCAGCACTGATTGTGGCCAGAACGTAAAACACTGCCCAAAGCCAATCATCTCGAGATCCTATGAACAGCGATCCAAAAGGGAGACCTTTTGAGCTCTCCGGGACCGCAGCGGGCTGTGTGACCCAGTGTCTCCCCTGCGCTGGGACGCCTCTCGGGGCAGATTTCGCGAGGATTGAAGGATCACCCATCGATGATTTTGCGAGGACTCAAAGGCCTGATTTCGCGAGGTTCACCGACCGTCCATTGATGAATGCCGGCACATAAAAGTAAGTAATTCATGCAACTCATGAAAAGGGAAATTTTAATCACAGGTTAACCTCTGTGTGTGTGTGCAATTTCGTTCAGAACTGTTTGTCTGTCTGTCTGTGCGATTTGATTTAGAGCTGTTTGTCGGTCTGCCTGTCTGCATGTGTGTGATTTGATTTAAACCCCAGCTGTGTGTGCAGCCCTGCTGTAAGTTTCGGGTGACCCTTGTCATTCTCGAATCTTTAAATAAGTCACTGTTTTGATTGGAACAAATTCCATTGAATCGCTCTGTTAATTTGGCTGATGCTTAAGTGCTATTAAGAATTATACAACCTAATTCTGTGATCTATCTCAAAAATACTAATAAATTCTAAATTGCTGCTAAACCAAAGCCATGTAAAAAATCACATTCGCAACACTTGGCCCATAATGTTTCCATTAAAGATTTCTTAACAACAGCTGTCTCTTACCTGTTATTGACAAAAGAGTACATGAGTAGTCGTTGCTCAATAAACCATTTCCACTCAGGGTTTTCATTCTGGAGATCCCGGTAATGGTCATTGGAAACAATGACTCCATCTTTCTCATAAGCAACTTTCACTATATAGCGATCATCGTAGCAAACTACCCTCTTGCCTTTCACCTTCCGGGATGGGGTGTACACAAGGATCGATTGCTTTTCAAGGTCTTCAAGAATGTGCTGATCTGGTGGGGTGGTTGGCAGAAATAGAAGGGAAAAAATAAAAATAAAAAAAATAATCAATTAATAATGACCAGGTCTCAATCATGGGCTAGAAACCTACAGGAATCTAAAGATGTTCCAGCACTTTGAGCAACTTAAAGCAGTGTGATTTTCAGATGCACTGATATCTGGTGGTTATTTGGCAACTTGAAAAATAGGTCTTTTACAAAAGCATCTAATCTTAAAATTTGAGATACCTTTTTTAATTTTTCAGTCCTATCCAGAGAAGGATGGCTTGAATTCTACACCAGAGACATGCTGAACCCCTGTAGTTCCCTTTTTACCCCACTAGATGCTAGAGGGCTCATAACCAGCCCTGGTATGAGTGTTACTGGGAGAGAAAATGTGCCTGATAAAACAAACAAACAAACAAACAAACTTCTTTTGCTGCCGTTGAGGACGCTCT